TTGTTCACAAATTAAAGTATCCGTGAAGTGAGGCATTATTCTATATGAGCATAAAAACAGCACCATTCTAAAAACACAGAAAATAACACATTTCACAAAGTTTCTTATATGCTGGTTTACCCAAGTATATTAAATAAAAAAATGACTGCAATTTTTCTGTTTGAAAATTTATTGAGAATTTTCCACCTTGTCAGTAAAAGAACCTTAATAGCAGAAATTACTCTCGTGATTCAGTCTCCAGCAAAATAACGGTGAGGCCTCATGTATTATCTATTTCACTGTATGGATATATTTCACTAAGGAAACCTTTTTTGGTTTTATAATTTAAAATATTTGTAATGAATCATAACTATATCATATTATTAATATATGGCATGTAATTTTACTTTTTTATAAACTGTGTAAGTATTTTGAAAAGTGTTTCTGTAAGTCTCTTTTACATATGACAGAATATTTTACAGGTGAGTGTAGGCATACATGTGCACAACTGGATGCACTGACATTAACTTTCATTGCAGGATCATAAAGTTTTAAAAAGGTTTGTTTTAAAAAGAAAATTTCTCAGTGTGGTGATTCAAAACTACTGCTAAACACAACGACAACTTAGGGTAACTCAACTTAAGAATGATGTCTGTGACTAATAACAGAGATTGGAAAATACAATTTGCTCCCAGAGTTTAGTCCTCAAATACCTATTATGATATAACTTTTTTAACCTGGCGTAAAAAGAAAGATTAACTTCTCAGTCACCAGCAAGTATCCCCCTTCATCCTCCATCAGGTTTGTTACGAGATTTATGGCAAAGATGTTCAAGGCTCCTAGCAGTGGGGACAGTGTCTTCCATAATTCTGGAAAAATACTTAGTTATCACCTCTCAAACTGTAGGCAACTTCCCAGTTTTCGTGGGTCCAGAACAACTTGTCCATTACTAGCTGGGAATGGAAAAAGTAATTTTTTCTCTGAGTCTACATTCAAGAAGTCTGATTAAGCATGAGTTCTTCATCTATTTTTACTTTCCAGTTGCACAGAATATTAAGTGTAATGTTCACTGGTTTTATGGTTTTACTTATTAATTAATAAAGTTCTTCCTTCTAGAATAAAGGTTCTATAGAATAAGGTTTCATCCTATCATCGTTAGAGCTCTATCTCAGGAGTCTAAAATGACACTGGAGGCAGATGCATGCCTTGAGAAAAAGACGGCCCCCAAAGCCACTTTTTAACTTGCCTGATATTAAATGTGTGCCATGGTAATGAATACATCAATACTTAGGCAAGAACAACATACCACCCACAGGAGGTGGATCCCCCTTTAGCCTTAACTATATCTCAGATCTTAGCAGAAAGCACATCTGCTCTGACACTAAAGGAAGAATCAAATTCTTGTCTACTCCAACCTTAGGTGAGCTCTGGGAGCCATGGAGAGGTACAATCACACGGTGTTACTGGGTTCATCCTGCTGGGTTTCACCACAGACACCACAATGCAGATGGTTCTGTTCGTGGTGTTCCTAGGCATGTACTCTATGACACTCCTAGGAAACAACATATTCATCGTGCTGATTTGTAATGATGCCAGCGACTCCACACATCCATGTACTCTTTCATTAGAAATTTGTCTTTCCTGGGTCTTTTGTATTCTTCTGTCTATACCCAACAGACAGTTACCTGCTTCTCTGAGGACAAAAGCATCTCCTTTGCAGAGTGTGTGATACAATTCTTCTTCTCTGCTGAGTTGTGCTACAGTGAGTGCCACCAGCTAGCCATGGCCTATGACGACTATGTGGCCATTGCCATCTCCCTGCTCTATGCTCAGGCCATGCCCAGGAGACTGGCGTCTGTATAGTGTGTTCTCCTATACTGAGTGCTTTCTCAGTGCAATAATCTTGACCAGCAATACATTGATTCAAGACTTCTATGGTGACAATGTCATTGATGACTTTTTCTGTGAGGTCCCACCCTGGTGAAGTTGGCATGTGATGTGAGAAACAACTACCAGTCTATGTTGTACTAAGTTTTGATCTCCAATATCATTGCCCCTTCCCTGCTCATCCTGGCCTCCTACTTCTTCATCTTTGCCACCATCTTGAGGATGTGCTCTACTCAGAGACAATATTGAAGCAAGTCTATAATATATACCAGAGATGATGCTTTAATCACTAAAACAAAACAGATAAACTAATGCAAAAGAAATATTTGGTTAAATTTCATTTAATATAAATTGATCTTTGATAATAAACTTCCCAATCATTCTCTTGAAGCAGTGTGCTATCACTTAGCAATGATGGGAGGAATGCATGTGAGTGAAACACCAACCTGCGATAAAGAGTTTTTTCAGAGCTTTTTTCATATGTTTCTTCCTCAGACTGTCGATCATGGGGTTCGACATGGGGAACAGTACATTATATAGGGTAGACACTGTTTTGTCTCTTTCAAGATTGTATCTGGAACTGGAGCATGAGTAGATGAAGAGGATGGAGCCACAGTACAGGGTGACAGAACACATTACTTCAAGAGAGTGATATAGTTTTCAAAAAGCAGTTCTGGGTTTAATGCAAAATTTAAAAAATATATATACTTTCAGCATCTTAGAATCATTTAAATGTCTTTTCCTATAAATATCGATCTATTTATTTATTTCTGCATAATGATTAATATGAAGATGTGATGAAGCCATACTATAGACTGCTGACATTGGAAAAGTAAATTTTAACTACTATTAATCAATTACTTCTAGGTTTCCTGTATTACAGATGAATAAGGCCTGTCAACATATTTTTGGTAGAAATAAACAGAGCACTTATGTATGAGAAGATACAAAATTAAAGAGTAGTCTGGAGGTAAAACAAGTGGTTCATTGTCTACTATCTTCCTATGTGGTTTATTTTAACTAAATTTTCTTAATATTCTCTGGCCATTAATTGCAATGCTCTTTCAATAACAAAATTATAAATTTTGAGCTAAAAACTCTTCACTTATGAAACTTTATTTTTCAGCTGCATTCTTATAAAAAGCATTACAAAACCTTAAAGATATCAGTTGTACTTTGAAAACTGAGCTCTTGGTGTACTCTGGGAGCCATGGAGAGGTGCAATCACACAGTGACTGAGTTCATCCTGCTGGGCTTCACCACAGGCTCCACGATGCAGCTGGTCCTGTTTGTGGTGTTCCAGGACATGCACTCTGTGACACTCCTGGGAAACAACATATTCATCAAGCCTTTTGTTCTTAGTTCAAATGTTCTAATTTAAAAAATACCAGCATGTCTCTAGAATGTGTTCCTTCCCCTAGAAAGTGTGGTAGAGTTTCCCCAAGAGCCATGGAAGAGAGGTCCCCCAGGCAGTACCATAAGTCATCATACACAGGCCTACTGTGGCTCCAAGACTTGCTAAATGCCGGAGTGAACAGCCCACAGGATTTAGTAGGTTAGCAGTATGCTACTACAAAGATAACAAGGCAAGAGATGTCCAACCTTGTTTTGTTCTGCACTACAGGGACAGGGGACCCAGCCTACAGAGTTTAAGTGTTAGGGTATCAGTGCCTGGTGATATCAAAGACTTTGGTTTGGTTCAATCCCACAGGGAAAAATGTGGCACTTTCTGTCATTTGGCCAGGACAGAGGGACATACTTAGGAAATCTGGCCTCCTGTAATGTGAATCCTTTTTCTTTATGTTCATAGTCTGTTTTATTCAATACAGTGGTGCTGTTTCCCCACTTAGGGGTTGCACTGCTGTGTGGCCCAAAAGAAAGGACCCAAAGGACATATTTACCCTTGAAAGTACTCCTTGGGGTGATGCATAATCCTGAAGTGCATATGTTCCATGAATTTTAACCATATTTGTTCCAATTATCAGTTATCATTTTGCTATCCACACCACTCTTGAACACTTTCCCTAATATCTCAGTGATGCAGGTGACACAGGTCTGTGTGAAGCTCTCCAGTGGACTTGCTTTGAAATCTGTATTTCTTTAAATTGTTTTTTTAACTATTTTGATATGTTTAATCTTACTCACTTTGAGATGAAAAACAAGTGTGTAGGACTGATAACTGTATTACTGAGTTTTTGTTTGATCATTGAGCAGAACTGTTTGCAGTGTCACTTTTTGAATGTCATTTTAAATTCTTTAATTTTGTAACCTGAACAGCTGTTTCTAAGATGACAATATGTAACTTATCAACCAGCGATTTCTTACCATTTATTTTTCTATACTTTTGTATTATTTCTACCCTTTTTTATCTCCATGTATTTTTTTCCTTTTCTTTAAATAAAAAAAGATAGCTTGTACTCAGGTCTTAGTGTAGAACTAACTTTTCCACTTAATTGGATGAATACATGAAAGAATGATTGTTGAAATGCTTGGTAAAACCAAGTGTAGCTTTGTAAGAAATGAACAGCCCCTCAAAGTTTATGCATCAATTTGCATTCCCATAAGAAATGAACGTTCCTCTTATTCCGTACTCTCATCAGAAGGTGTGCTATCAGTTTACGTTAACCATTCTAATGCTTTCAAAATAATTCACTTTTGAAATCTACAATTCAACAATAAAAATGATATTGGACATCAAAAATTGCTCTTAGGCACATACAGCAAACATTAGGGAACACTTTTGTGGAAATATCTTACTGAAAAAAATTAATATATTGAGAAAATTTCAAACCGCTTTGTGATTCCAAATTTCTCCCAATAGAGATTGTTCAACAAGCATCAGTATCAAACTGTATCTTTGAAACTATGTACTTTTTTCTGAGATCTCCCAGTGATACCAGCCAGAATGAATTTCATGAAATCTTGAACTACAAAGAAATAAAATAACATATTACAGCACATCAAAGGACCCCCAGCACTATAAGATTAAAAGAGTTCATGTCACAGCAAATAATGACCAAAAAAAAAAAAAAACAGTTTGTTCAATATTTCATTTTAAATAAAACTTATTGTGATGAAAGGAAATATATTAGTTGGAAAATATAATAAAAGTATTCACCAAGAAACAATAACCCTCATGCCTGTGGTCGGATAATCTGCAATGCTTTCCGGAAGGCTTCTTTGACATCTTTGTTTCTCAGGCTGTAGATGAGGGGATTGAGCAGTGGGTTGACAACGGTGTAGAACAGGGCAGCTACTTTGTCCTTCTCCAGGGAGTAGCTGGAGCTCGGCCTTGAATACATGAAGAGCAGGGATCCATAGAAGAGCATGACAGAGACCAGGTGGGAGGCACAGGTGGAGAAAGCTTTGCGCCTCCCTGAGGCTGAGCGGATCCTCAGGATAGCCAGGAGGATGTTGAGATAGGAGGTGAAGATGACGAGCAGGCAGGAGAGCACTGTGAACCCCACTACACCTAGCAGGACTTTTTCATAGACCTGGGTGTCTGTGCAGGACATTTTTACCAGTGGTGGAGCATCGCAGAAAAAGTGGTCAATGATATTTCTACCACAGAAATGCAGCCGGAAAGTGTTGGCAGTGTGAGCTATGGCGTTTAGAAACCCTCCGATGTAGGAGCCAGTGACAAGCCCGGTGCAGAGATCGGAGGACATGGTGCCTGAGTACAACAGTGGGCTGCAGATCGCCACACAGCGGTCATAGGCCATGGCAGCCAGCAGGTAACACTCAGTGTAGGCCACAACACAGGAGAAGAACAACTGAGCCCCACATCCAGCCAAGGAAATGCGCTTATCTTTTGAAACACAACTGGACAGGATTTTGGGAGTGTACACAGAAGTGTACCAGAAATCCAAAAACGACAGGCTGCCGATGAAAAAGTACATAGGTGTGTGTAGCCGGGCATCAATCCGGATTAAGAAAACCAGGGTCAGGTTTCCTGACAAGGTTGCCAAGTAGATAGCTAGAATTATCCCAAAGATGACCAGCTGCCAGCGGGGGTCTGCTGAGATGCCCACCAGTATGAATTCGGTCAGGAAAGTGCGATTTCCCAGTTCCATGTTCACTGAGAAAAACCTGGTCATCACCACTGCAAGAAAAGCTACCACTAGTTTTTCTATTGATTAATTAATAATTACTAAGAAGTTTAGGAGATACTATTTCTTATTATTTAGCATTATAGAACTTCACATTGGGACTTGGCAAGACAGCAGGATTTAGAGTGAAAATGATTTTTAAATTATGGAATCCATTTTTCACCTTTAATGTAGAAAATCTCTTATTCTCATAAGACTGATGATGAAAATGAATTTTTTGACAGATTGTGTGATTGACTAAACAGCAGATATTGCAGAACTGTAGGGCTATCTTTGATTTGTGATGGACACTCATAAAATTTTAGTATCTATCCATAAACTGAGCATTTCTTGTCTGAAGCTGTGTATAACAATGTAGTGTCTTAAACTTCCTACTGTAACAAGTAGAGAGAAACAGACCTGACTGTCTGTTTCAGACAGATTTGTCAGTCTCTATGCTACACCCATATTTAATTAACCCTCTTGGTTCTCCTTACACCTCTGTACCAGTGGACTGAGGGTTACACACTTCAAACAAAGAAAGAGAGTGAAGTATAGAGTTCAAGTAAGCAAAGTCACAGGGCTATTCAACTGCAGACCTGGTACTGGAAATGAGACTCTGTGTAATTACTAGGTGCTTACAAAGAAGTTACAGACAGGAAGGAACAACATCAGCTGTAACATTACACAAAGAGGTGACTGTAGACCATAATAATCTACTGCATAGTTCAAAAGGCTAGAAGAAAGGATCTTCAATATGTTCCTGTAAAGAATTACAAATATTTGAGATTGAAATCATTTAAACATTACACAATATATACATGCATAGAAACATTACATGGTAACACATAACTGTGTACAATTTGAGCATATATATATATATATATATATATTTAAATTTTAAAATAAATAAAAATAAGGAGACAAAAACAAAACAAAATTGTCATAATAAAACAAAAACATTAGTTAAGATGATCCCATTACTTGATAACTCTATCATCTTAGAAAAATATCTTAACCTGCAAACATACACAACTTCACATGCAAAATGGTAAGAAAATTCCAATATTACATAGGTAAAATGCACAGATAATATAGGGAACAGGTAGTGTAGCTATGAAATGGTAGCTAATTTAAATCTGAGGAAAAATATATTTATAAATTCTTATTTTACACAAATGTAATAAAGTCAAGTTTCTGCTAATAAGCAACTGAAATTAGGACTATGGTGTCACTAAGAATATTATTAAAATTCAGAACCTTAATATCTATGTAATTCAGTACCACAATACAAAAATAAGCCTGTTTTGGAAATAGAAAGCTCATTGGCCTGAGGTCAAAGCATAATGTAACTGTTACATAAACCTGATACCAAACACGTGTATGAATTAGGAAATTTATCTCCATTCTCAGGAGTGTATTTCCCCAAAAATGGTTAGTTCCTTTCCCAGTAGCAATTAGTTATGATCCCAATTAGCTAACATCTCAGAAATCAACAGGACACTATAGAGGACCTTGCCTGTTATAATAAAATGTTCCACAGTGAGTAAAAATCTCTTTATACCCATGTACCTTTGGAAGGGAAGTAGCAAAGACAACTGCATTTGTATTTTATCTCAAGATTTGCATTCCCATTCTTGCTCCCCTAAAAAAACCAGCCATTTTCCCACCCCTATATTTTTTTAATTTCTTCATAAGAAAATATCTAATAACTGAAAGGTAAGAAATTAAATATCTCTTTGGGAACTAGTAAAACACAACTCTCCCAAAAAACCCCATAGTGCACATAAGTGCACAAAATTTTAGAGGACTCAAATACTCTCAGCAATTTATCAGTGGATTTTCTGCTTAGGCTTCTTAGATTGAAAATCTTCTCTCATAGAAACTGTCTCTATTTCCAGTGCTAACAATCCAAGTAAAATATTAAAGACAGATACAAATATTTAAACTTCATATGCTTGAAGCTAAATTGTTAATTTTCACTTTCAAACTTGATCTATATATTCCTTCTCCATATAAGTTCATGATCTCCTTGCCTTTTTTTCTGAATTCAAAAAAAATTAGAATCAGTTTATTCCCATCCTCTACTATAAACTTTTCATTGTCTCAGAAACAAAACCATAATTCCCTTTGCTTTAGCTTTTCCACCCCCATTACATTTATGGTTACCACTGGGTTCAAGAGGACGGCATTCACCATGTAACTGGTCTGCACCATTCGTGCCTTCTGGTACATGGTGGACAGAGAAGCCAGCACAGTCCAGTAATTCAATGACACACCATAACGCCTGTATTTACAACCTTGTAATGATGCCTCATTTCTCTCTCTCTCTCTCTCTCTCTCTCTCTCTCTCTCTCTCTCTCTCTCTCACACACACACACACACACACACACACACACACACACACACACAGATTGGCCTTGCAATTATCCACAGCTCAGCTCTCTCTAAAACACATTATCTCCTAAAACTCAGCCTACTCTCCTGGTCTTTCATTTTGCTCCTATATTGGTGATTTTTCCACTTTCCCAAATGTACATCTGTCTTTTAACCAGTCTATTTCTTCTCCCTGAAACACTGTTCTCAAAAAACTTGCATATTTCTCCTCCTGTAGGTCCTTTTCATATTTGCTAGGGATCATATTAATCACTTATTGTTAAAAGATTCCATGCCCATTTCTCACCAATAATCTGCACCCTTCTGACTGTACATGGATCCTGTTCTGTTTTGATCCATTTCTAGCTCTTGAGTTCTAATTTACATCATACACTCTTATTTTTCATATTTAACTCCTTTTCTCTCTAACAGGATACATCATACATAAGAAAAAAGTCTATTTACTGCTGTATTCCAGCATCACAGTCAATACCTAGCAGGGTAATAATGCCTGGTACATATTGAGAGAATATCTGTAATTTGGACCTGTTTTTCCTGATGGAGTTTCTGCTTCTGATAGCACTTAAAATTATCAGAAAAACAAAGCACACTTTCCTGGCACAGTAAACGATACTGTAATAAAAAGGATGAATATATAAAATGTAAGACTCACTCTGAGACCTGAATCCACCTGGAGTTTATAGTAAACTGTTGCTTATATGTGCATGTGAGATAAAAGCACAGACAATGTCCCAACCATGCATGCTGAACCACTACACACGGGAGTACTGGGCCTGGGAGCATTTCTGCAAAGGATGTGTTTCTTTGGCATCTAAAGAGGAGAGAAGGAGAGAAGGAGGGAATGCAGTGTGGGGTAGTGATATGAACAGACAGACAGGAGATCATTTCTTTGTTCTTGGTTTATTTCATTGTTACTGAATATATGATCCTTCATCACAAATATCAACATGAATTTCAAATTGTGTATTAGGAACAGATATACTGCTGGATGGAATCTGAGTTAAAGTGGAGTCCGTGTGTGTGTGTGTGTGTGTTTGTGTGTGTGTGTGTGTGTGTGTGTGTGTGTCTGTGTGTGTGTGCACATCTCTGGTGTTGGCATGACAATGATCACCTTATAGCCATCCCACACTGCATTCCCTTCTCAGTCCAGCTGCAGGCACAGCAAGGCAAAACCACTCAGCTTCCCTTCGTCTTCAATGCTTACCTCTTGTCAGCAGCACCAGTTTCAGGAAGTGGTGCTGTCCATTCTTTTTGGTATTTGCTGTACAGCTTGAAGGAAGCAATATATATTTCCTCAGTAGCCCTTTGAGACCTCCTCCACACAGCATCCAGAAATATGTAACTCTGTCTCCAAAGACATAATTAAGAGTTTGTGTGGAGTATGGCGATGCATAATATACTAACTAGAATATGATCAAGTGAGCAGAATCTTATTAAAAGTTGACAATTTTAATGGCTCTATGTCACAATACAATCATTCAATATTTTTGGTAACAGAATTTCTCTGACCTGTACTATTGATTGTTTTCTATAATTTTTCTAGTGATGCATGCTCTTCTCTCTGAATGGTCTTCTCTGGCTCCTTCACTGGACATGCCCTGCATTTCCCTGGGGTTAAGGCTGAATCAAGTCTCACCACAATGCATGCACTGAGACCTGAACTCCAGGACCTGCAACGTGACTGCAGATGGAGATCAGGCCTAGGGAGATGTGATTAAGATAAACACAGCAAGTAATGTGGGCCTAACCCCCACCCTACTTGACTGTTTGCCAAGAATATTCCAAGATACAAGTGTCACTCAGAGTGTGATGCCACAGAGGAAAGGAGAGGTGGGACCTCTGCAGCCAGGCACCGATCTGTGAATCAAAGAGAAAGACCATGAGAGAAACAGCCCCATGTGCTTTTGAAATTGGACATCTGGCCTGAAGCTGTGGAAAAAATACTTTTCTCTTGAAAACCACCTGCCATGCAGCACTGCACTAGGAAAGTCCTGCAAACCCGGGGTGCCAGGTTAATAAGGGGGCAGCCTCTTAATGTTGCCACAGACTCATGTTTCACACACAAAAAACTACTGAGATTAAGAAATTAGATGCATCACAAAGATATATTCCTACTTTAAATTTATACATAAAACTGGAAAGAAGAAATATAAACATTTGCAGGTCCTTAGTTGTTACCAATCCCTGCTTCACCAAGTAATGATTTCCATTTTGATTTTTCCCCTGCATGTAAAGTTTTATGCAATCTCATTCATTCTGCTCTACTTGTGCATCTATTCTTGTGTTTGGGTTCACTTACATCTTGCTGCTCTCCTCACATCACTGACTTACTGTTCCTAGGATCTTCTAATATTTTTGTGAGGGGAGAATGCTCTTTTTTTAGAAATCCACAGTGACTCTAGTGACTAAATAATATTTGTTCTCTATTTCATCAATTGGAGAGGAAACCTGTTATCTTGCATTATACAAGAAGCAGAAATCAGAATAAAATGATTTTTCTCTTATGAGAAACCCAAGATATAAATTAATTAAATAGCAAAACAAGAGACAGACTGCAGGGAACAGGGAATCAGACCTTTTGCAGAAGGAAGGAAGTTAGGTTTGGGACAAACAAAGCATAATGATTGAAAAAAAAAATCAAGAACTTAGCTCTCCAAAATGTAACTGTTATGTGTCAAACATAGATGCAAACTGCTATCTCCACAAAAGGATTGTTTTCCTTTCTTTCTTTTTTTTTTTTTTCAGAAAGTCTAGGCTACTGAAAAGGATAGGGATAACCTGCTATAATCAAGTACTTACAAAGAAACTGAGCTCAAACTGGAATTTTCCACAGGTACATCTTTATTTCTCAAACTGTAGATCAAGGGATTCAACATGGAGCTGACCACAGGGTAGAACAGCAGTACTACTTTGTCCTGCTCCAGGGCATAGCTGGTGCTGGGCCAGGAGAGGATGAAGACGATGGAGCAGTTGGCTGCCAGGTGGGAGCTGTACGTGGAGAAGGCCTTGAGGAGGTCTGTGATGGAGTGGATCTTCAGGATTGCCACCACTATGGAGAGGTAGGAGGTGAGGATGAACCCAGGAGGAGCAATGATGCTGCAGGTCAGGACAAAGTACATTTCAGCCTGGTAGCTCACCTCCATGTCACATGCCAACTGGCAAGTGGGGGCAGGTCACAGAAGAAATCATCAATGACATTGTCACCACAGATTAAGAGAAATGATTTTTAGAAATATAGATAATCCAGATCCCACTTAGCATACATACCAATATTCATTGGAAAATGACTATGAATAATTCATCGGATTTTGTGCTAATCACCAGAGACACAGCAGAAAACAAAGCAGAAACAGCCATGGTCCTTGTGTGATATTATTTTAGTTCATCATAACTACAAAGTAAAGCAATTGCCAAGAGTAATTGGTGGAGCATGTAGGTTTAGCTGAATGTCACTAAGCAAGTTAAGGGCAGACCCAGTAAAACAAAACTCCTTGTGGTGTATTTCATGTGCCTCATGTGCTCCAGTACTGCCCTTTTAGCTGCACTCTTTTTCAAAAATTCTGTTTAGCTTCTGTACCTTGGCTTGAGCAAGGATGTTTAATTTGGGCTCAGAGACCCCTGAGCCCAAATTCATTCATCTGAATGAATGCAGATAGGCTTCAAGAAATCCACAATTCCCCCAAAAAATGCTTCTGGGAAGTCTTATTCATGTACCTATTTGTCAAAGGGTCAATCTGGGTACAGGGTTCAAAGTCACTGTGCCACAGGGTTTAGATTTCCACTACCCAGTGCGAGGGGTTCTAGGGAGATATTAAAACCCTTTGAAATGAACCACACTGAAAGAATTTGAATACTGATGGGAAAATTAAATACATTTCCTCCACATAGTCTTGGATTTGTGACCTTCCAGATTTTACTAATTAGTTTAAATACTTGGCAGAGGAGCATTAGTGTTGTTTGTTATGTTATAATTTAAACAAAATCACAAGAAATAACTTTGTTAAACTAAGATGAAAATAATCCAAAATAGAGGAAGCAAGACTATATGGATATTAACTGTAGACACTGTGAGTGAGAAAAAGGGACAAGAATAGGAAAAATCCTCCTTTAAATATAAAACATTTCAAATCCTTATAAAATTTAAACCATGTAACCTGAACAAAGCTGAACAAGTACTTTGAAAATAACAATATGCAATATATTAACCACTGTTAATTTCTTAGTTTTTTAAAAATTCTGTATCATTTCTATACTTGTATTGTTTTTCTTTTTTAAAGAAAATATAAAGGAATATTTACACCAGTACAAAATGGTTGTGTATCATAACTGTGAATAACAGGATCAGTGGAAGAGAAGATTTGCAGGACAAATGTACTCATGCCCGAGGAATTCACCTGCTACTGAGTAGCATGGACAGGGGACATTTTGCTCAAGCCCTCCAGCCTGAGTGTAGTCTCTGGTCCCACAGGAAAACTGAATTTCCCAAGAGTCTGTGGTTAAAGTCTGGGTCATGTGACCACGTTTTGGCCAAAGAGCATGGACAGAGGCAAGAACACCACACCTTCGTGTAAAACCCAAAATATGTAAATTTTGTTGTAATAAAGAGAGGCAAAAAAAGTGCCCTAAAGGATAAAACAGCAAGTGTGTTTAGGTGTGTTAAATAGATGACCATATTAATGGTTTTGATTGGATCATTGAACACAACTGTTTGCAGTCCCACTGTTTGAACGTTCACTTTGTAAGCTTTGATCCTGTGACCTGAACCACTGTCTTTAAGATGATAGTGTGTAATCTGTTAACTGGTGATATCTTACTGTTTTTGTTGTTGTTGTTGTTGTTGTTGTTGTAGTAGTTCTGTATTACTTGTACCCTTACACTGTTTTGTTTTGTTCTGCATTTTTCTCTTTTTCCTTTTAAATTAAAAAAAAAAAAAAAAAAGAACACCACACTGTTGCTCTTTCTGGCCATGGTACCTCAGACTGGGCTATTCTGTCTCTGCTTCAGCTGCTGCCAAACCTTATTTGCCGTAGTAATATTGGCAGCCCCTAAAAGGAGAAGCAACATGGATTTGAGTGTCTGCCCACTGCAATGATGAAGCTGCTCAAGAACTAGCTGAAGGCTAGTCCAGCCTACCCATAGCAAAAATAGATGGGGTCATTCATTTAGCTATCAACTGCACAAAGCCCAATGTGACAGGCTTTGGGGACTGTTAGAAATACAAATCAGACAGAAACACAGGCCCCTTAAGGAAGAGAGTTTAGGAGTGGAAAAACATAACTAAAACCAAGTTATTGTAATAAAATGTTGTAGGAAAATGTAAAGGAAAAAATCTGCTAAAATGGATTGATTTTTGGATTTTCCATTCAATTCTATAGTTATCTGAAACTCTCTTAATCCACCAGGCATTGTACCAGGTGTACTCCTAGCTAGCTGGAGGCTGAGGCAGGAGAATGGCTGTGAATTATTTGGAGGTCAGCCTGGGCTACACATAAAGACCATACCTCAAAAAAATAATTTAAAAATACTCCAGAAAGAAAGAAAGATAAAGGAAAGAGGGAAGGAAGGAAGGAAGGAAGGAAAAGCAAGCAAGGCTTTTCTATTTAAATTTTTATTACACATATTTGCAGTACACACTGGTCACGTTCCTTGTTATCTTAACCACCTCTAATCTTAACTCAGTTGCCATCCCTTCTCGCTCCCACCTCAAACTGATGCTCTTCCCGGTGGAGAAAGATCTCTCTCCCCACATTCTATAACTTATTGCTTATGCTGCACTACATTTCTATTTTCGGTTTCTCCTAAAAAAAAAAAAAAAAAAAAAAAAAAAAAAAAAAAAAAAAACAAAACACGAGACACACTTGTGCATCTCGTTTATTTCACCAAATATTAAGATCTCGAGCTGCATCCACTGTGCTATAAATGACTGGAATCAATCTTTCTTTAAAGAGTACACAAATAACTGTATATTCTAGTGAGTAAATACCGCATTTTCTTTGTTCAGAAGTCTATTTTTAAGCAGAGAGAGGGAGAAAACACATGGGATGAAATCTGAATTTGAATGAAGCCATAAATGAAGCAGAAGGGTGAATGAGGTATTTGCTGTTTATTCTCTACATAATTCACTGTTTTCCTTTTTAATCACATGGCATATAGTATCGCCTTTATAATTGAAACAAATAATAACTTAAACATTGGCTCCACTAGTGTCTTAAAATATATATAATATTATGTTATTTAATATTTTAAATTTTTGATTTTTATCTAACCTTATGTGCAGCCAATCAAAGAACAGATTGCAACTTCAGCAGGGCAGTGGAAGTCGGTTCCTGGGGATCTGTCGCCCTCTGGTGGTGAAAAGAAGCACCGCTCCAAGCACTTCGGCAGGGTCCAGAGCGCAGCCTCTGAAGCACCGGCTGCATAGCATTTCTATGTTGCAGCACAACCGGAAGACTCCAGGCCCAGAACTAAAGCCCCAGAAAGCCAATTGCTTGCCCCCTGGTGTGTATGCCTTCCTGCGCTGTCACTGCCCATGCACAGTTGCTGGGAACACAGCTGGATAAATGGCCTCCAGTGAGATGAAGCCATCGGTGAAAGGGTGCCTCCGTGCATCTCTGAGGTGCACAGTATCTGTCAAATGAAGGAAAGAAATCACGGTAGTACACAGAATCTTTCCCTTGTCTCAGTGTGTGTACTAGAGAAGTATTAATCTATACCCCCGCTATCCCATAAATATGCTCTAGGAGAAAACACAGGAACTCCTGGTGCTTGCTATTTCACAGGGAAGCTAGAGCTCTGGGCTGTGAGATTTCTTAGTTCTTATTATTATTAGTAGTGGAAGATGTATTATTAAAATGCAATATTTTGAAATACAAAAGCCCACAACACCAAACAAAACACATGATAAACAATGCCAAAGAAAGGCAGTGAAGTGCTTGTATGTCCACGAGGTTTTAAACAGAGAAAATGAACTTCCTCATGCCTTGATATTGCAATCCTCACATTTTATTTTTTTTATTTTTAAACTGATACACAGCCTTTTATGTTTTTAGGACACAATAAGATTTCTAAATAGATTTATCTATTATTAAATATATCTTGTTAGTAAATGCATCACCTCATAAATTCATTACATTTGTGGTAACAGGGCACAGCAGACAGGCTCCTTACAATTTTTATCAATGTAACACAGTCATTTCTTACACACAGTTCCCTAAGAGTCTTTGTTTCTACCTAACTGTAACTGTGTATAATTCAACCTCCATGCCTTCATCTCCTTCGCCACCACAGCCTCTGAGAGACACCAGACTGACCTCTCCACTCAGGAGACTGATGGGTGAGGCCCAGTGGCAGGTGTGATCTTGTAGGCTTTACTTTTTCAAACCATGATGATTTCCCTGAACATAGTTCCCCCCGGTTAATCCAAATGGTCACAAGTGTCATGATATGACCCTTTATGGCTGAAAAGTACTCCCTTGTGTACCTCCACTACATTTCATTTATGCCTTCTTCCACTGGTAGATTCTTACACTGATTCCGTATCTTGACTGCTGAAAGCCATGCAGCCACAATCAAGGGTGCAGACAACTGATTTGCTTGTCTTTGGATATGTATCTGTAAGTGTCATCACTGGATTATGCAGCAGTTCTTCTACATTTTATACATCTTATTTATTTTATTCTATTATTTTATTTTTCAATTTTGGCTATCAAACCCTGGACCTTACATATGGTAACTAAGCACCCTAATGCCATGGAACATCTCCAGCTCTGATTTTGAATCCATGAGCACATTCTGTTTGGAAATGGTAGCTTACATCCACACTGACATAGGTAGGGAGGTCTCTTTTCAGCATATTTTTTCCAACATTTGTATTGCATCTCTTTTTTGACAATCATTATCCTAACAAAAATGAATTAACATCTTCCTGGGATTAGAATTTGCATCCCCCTGATGCTTAGTGATGACTGATGTTTAGTGAGAATTGTTTCCATACTTGATGGTAACTTGTAGGTCTTCTTTTGTAGAAATGTCTATTTCGAGTTTTCCCCATTTTTGAACCAGGCTATTTATTTGCTTTTTCGTGTTGGTTTCTTTGTGTACTTGTTTCCTACTAATGTGTTTGCATTTTTTGTGCAAGCACAGTCACTATTACTTCTCTTTGACATAGCACTGAAAGTTCTAGATAATGCAATTGGGCAAGAAAAAAGGGATGAAAAGCTATCAGATTGAAAAGGAGGAATTCAATTGTTCCTGTTTGTAAACAAGATGATCTCATATCTGGAAAATTCTTAATCTTCACCCCAAAAACAGAACCAATCAACAAATTCAGTGAAGTTTCAGTATACAAAATCAACACTGAAAAATGGATAGCATTTCTCAACATATAATATCAAACCAACTGAGTGAGATATCAAGAAAATAGCCCACATACAGAAGTTCAATAAATAAAAATACTAGAAATAAATTAATTCAAGGAGGTGAAAGAGCTTTAGAAAAAAAGTGTAAAATACTGATGAAATAAATTGAAAAAGATGCAAGTAACTAGAAAGATACCTATAATAATGTAGTGGAAGAATTAATATTTTTAAAATGTCTGTGCTACTCAAAGCAATCTATATGTGAAAATCTGTCCCTATGAAATTACTAATTGCATGTCACAGAAATGCAGAAAGAAAATAACCTTAATTTTGTATAAAATAACAAAAGCTATCACTTATTCAAAGCAATCTTAACCAGAGAGGACAAAGCAAAAGTTATCCCACTACCTCAGTATGGAATATGCTATAAAGCTATAGTAAGCAAATAGCCATGGTATTGACATGAAAAAGAATACATATAGATCAATGGGCTAAAATAGAGTGACCATAAACAAATGTAGCTTATTCATTTTCAAGCACATACATTGTGAATCACAAATGGAGAGGAATGAATTGAAATTCTTATCTTTCACTATGTACAAAATTCAACTTAAGATGCATTTAAGATTTAACTGTAAGTCTCAAAATTATGAAACCACTAGAACATGTAAGAGCAATATGCTGTGCCACTGGCACAGACAAGGATATTTTTGTGGTTACTGCCTCAAAAGCACAAGCAACAGACTCTGAACTGGTCCAATGAGGATGCCAAGCTTAATGCCTTCTGAATGGCAAAGGAAGCAACACAGCAAAGAGATGACCCACAGAACTGGAGAAAATACTTCACACCAAACATTTGACAAGGGGCTACCATCCCCATATTTAATCTCTATACTGCATCTTGTTATATAAAATCAGAGTTTCCTCATTGAAAAACCTCCCTCCCAGTTAAAATGTTTGCTCTA